GCTCCTGTAGTCCCAGCTACTTGGGAGGCTAAGGCAGGAGGACGGCTTGAGCCCAGGAGGTTGATGCTGCAGTCAACTGTGATCGCGACACTACACTGTAGCCTGGGCAACGAGTGAGACCCCCTGTCTCAAAAGAAAAAAAAAGGTATCTTTAAAAATTCAATAATTATCCCTATGTAAATTGTCTGTAGGAAAATAATAGTCTCAGTCCAGATTTGCTATTATTTAAGTTTGGTACAGCAAAGATCAGAAGTTTGCCATGTTGGTCCAGACATCTGAGTGATAAGTAAACAAGTCAGGAGAAGACTAAGGGAGAGAGCTAGGCAGGTTTTAACAGGAAAATGCATATGGATCAACAGAAGTAAATTCATGCTATTTTCACCCAAATAGTTCAGATGTTAACCAAGACTAACATTTCCAGTCTAATATTACATGTAGAAAAATTCATTTGCCACAAACCTGGAAAAGAAATAGATTAGCAATTTTGAACACTAGGGTTTATCTTATGAAAGACAGCTTTTGATACTTTAACTTTTTACTACCTAAAATTCTGTATTGTTTGAAAAGTTTCAAAATGGGCAATTATTTTTAAAATAAAAAAAAATTAAGAGTAAAGTTAAACTCTGACAAAACCCCAGGGCTCTTCAAATAGGATAATGAAAGGAAATAGAAGGTTCAAGTCTGCATTTGCCTCTAGTCTGGTGAATCCTGAAACACATATCCATTTGCCTTTTGTGGTTCAGAATTTATTGACTCCCAAGTTACTGATTTCCTAATAACATAAAATATGGAATGATCTAATCTACCCAGAATGAAAAAATTATCACAGATCATGTCCTCATGGCAAGGGGAGTTATATAGGAAGCACTCAAGGAGGAAACAGCCTGCTGCCAAAAATAATCACTGGTGCCTGGGGAGAGCTGGACTAGCAGGGAACAGATTTACTGATTGGACCTAATGATCATATTAGAGGGGAAATTCTCAACTCTTAACTCAGGTTCATAGCCTTTCTCATTACACAGTGCTGTACAAACACCAATACTAAAAATTTTATTGAACTTTTAAATATGTATTACATTCACCTATAAAATATTGTTAAAGGTTGTTTTCTAATGAATATATCTGTGTTCATATAAAATGTTAGAACTTTTTTTTCAGCTTTTATTTTAATGTCATAGCATACAAACATCTTCTTTCAGTGAGAACCAGTAGTAGCGTATAATAATCCAATGGGGACACTACCCATTTTACAGATGTGGTACTAACTTTTGGAAGCTCATTTTTCTAATAGGAGAAATAAACATCTCCTGAGGTTTGTTTAAAAAAAAAAAAGGACAGTAACAGTACCATTCACATTTATGTGATAAATGAATTTATAGGGAGCAGTGATTTAAATACAGCAGTTGAAAGTAAAAGCCATATCACAATGCATGGAAAACCATAGCCACATAGACAGGAAGACACACCAGTGAAGTCTCAGGGAAGAGAAAATTATACATAGATGCAAACTAAATGAACTGCCTGCTATCCTCTGGTTTAGGAGGAATCACAAGCAAACCAGGAAAACACAAAGTAAAGAGGTATACCTATTTCAATCTCTTAAGGACTGCCACTTTTACCAGGATATTGTGGGAAGAATAAGAAGGAATATTTATCGTAAGTGGTGTGCCACAGATGAGAAAGAACATATACAAAGCTATGTTGGTACTGGGAATCCTTGTTCCAGGTATGAATATAAGGTCCACAGCGAACTTTGACACATAGATTGCTCAGTGGCTCCATTCCATGCATAAATCTGTTATCAAAAATATCACTGAAATAGGAGATTAAAGAAACTCAGCTGATTTCCCACCCCTGTGTTTGTGGGAATGCTCCTTAACTATATAAAACAGAATGTTCTCTTAGATATACAAACTTCCCCTTTACAATGTTATGATAAGCAAAATATTTAACTCCCAAAAACTCGACAGAAAATGAAAGTGCAGTGTGACACACACTCTGGATAGGAGGAGTGGCATTATCTCATTGATTTAAGTTCCCCCTTCCTTTTACTTATCATGACTGTGTCTGCTTTCCACGGTCACATTCTGTAAAGATGGAAATATATTTCATAGCCTATCAAATAAATGCATAAAATAGATTACCATGTGAATCCTATGTTAGAAGAAAGATTATGCTTAACTGAGGACCCTAGATGCCACTAAAAAAAAAAAATCTTCAACAATCTTTAGGAGATTAGAGACTTTTCAGACTCTAAAAAGCAAAAAGAAAACAAACCAAAACTTGAAGCTACCAACTTGGGCCTGCAGCTTTTCCCTCTGTTAGGATCTGTTAAGATTCTGTCAAATCATTACAGAATAATAACAAATGCCCTGTCCCAGTAGATTAGATCACCTAATCTCTCTGATAGTGGAGATTTAAAGATATGTTAATTCGTATTACATACTAATGTGAAGTGCAGAGAAAAAGTGAAAAACTTTTTGAGTTTCCTCTTTTTTGTGGGGGATGGGGTACACTTAGAGGAACAGATATTAATGTGTGGTGTGTGTTGGTTGGAAGTGGTAGAAGAGAGAGGAAATAGAGTTCTCTTTATTTTGTGATTAGCAAAAGAGGAAGAATTTTGTTTGTTTGTTTGTTTTGCTTTGAGGTCTAGGATTGCTAACATTTCTAATTAGACCACTGACAAGCTCGTTTCTGCAATTTTTTAAAACTAAAACTTCTTACACAAGATTCTCTAGGGGAACATGGATTACTGAGTGGATGCCATAATAAACAAACATACAAAATCTTCACTTGTATAATTATTATAATTTTTCTGTGGTTAAGAACAGCATGCTTATGTTGGGGAAAGCACTAAGAGGTGAGTCAAATGTTATTAACCATGTGAAACCAGGTGAAACTGGGATTTTTATATACTCAATGTTTATAGTATAATACTTGAAATGTTGTGTAGCTTTAGCCTTTACAAACTTTAGAAGGTAGTGACAACTTTAAAGACATGAGACTAAGGTCAGGCACAGTGACTCATGCCTGTAATCCCAGCACTTTGGGAGGCCCAGGCAGGCGGATCACCTGAGGTCAGGCATTCAATACCAGCCTGACCAACATGGTGAAATCCTGTCTCTATTAAAAATACAAAAATTAGCCGAGTGTTGCGGCGGGCACCTGTCATCCCAGCTACTCGGGAGGCTGAGACAGGAGAATCGCTTGAACCCGGGAGGCGGAGGTTGCAGTGAGCCGAGATTGCACCATTGCACTCCAGCCTGGGCAATAAGAGTGGGACTCCGTCTCAAAAGAAAAAAGAAAAAAAGAAAAAAGACATGAGACCGAGAATACCGTAAGAATATTTGGTAATTTATTTTCAAACCAACAACTATATACATACATATTTTTACATTCACTATGTGCAAAATGCTATTCTAGATATTTGAACAGTAAGGAGGAAAAATAATGATGAGTTGGATTAGATCCCTATTGGCAAGGCTCTTAAAATCTAACTGGAAAATAACACATAAGGACTTGAAAAGTCAAACCAAAACACAAAAGTCATAAAGTCAAAACAGTACAAAGGACAATGTGATACATTTCATGACTAATCATCAAACTAGTGTCAAGACCAAAGGTTATTGCAGCCAACTGTGCCATCACAATTATACAGAGAGGTTTTGAAAAAATAATTATTGGGCTCTACCCCAGACCTCTTGAATTAAATTTCTGGGTAGGGCATGGGAGAACAGGGGGGTATAAATTCACAGAAGGGAGAGGAATTGGAGGAGGCAGGACCTGGCATTTTGTATTATATAAGCTTCCCAGGTCATACTGATGAAAACAGTTTGGCACAACTTAGTGGATCAGTATTTGAGAATCACTGCTGTGGGCCAGGATGGTACCACCAGGCAAATATACTTCTACCAGTAAAGGTGACAACTGGAGTTGGGGTTAAGAAAGATTGTCAGCAGAAACTCTTCTTTTCCTATCCCCACTGATGCCTAGCACACTTAGATAGAGAAATACTAATCTAGATCATGAAAGTGAGAGTCCACAGTGGAGTTGAAATATTTCAAGGAGGGAAAGCTTCTGCTGGGTTTTAGTGGAAAAATCTTGCTTCCCAAACTCAGAAGGAGAGAAAAGCTTGCCAGGGAAGGGGAACAGCATGTATTCAGGAAAGTAAAACTGGGCCTGAGGCATGATGCTTTGAAAAGTTGTTTAGAAGAGAGGGTTCATGCAAGGGGAGGCTCAGTTTTAGAGAGTATCACATTCCCTACTTAGGTTCTAATCTGTTTTTATTATGGAAAAATGTGAATACCAAATCTGGAACTCTACACATCTCAATTCAATAAACTGTATGCTACTTTTGCTTACTCAAGTTACACTCAAAAAGGTTATGTCATTAATTTCATTATAATCTGCACATCTAGGATAAACTCTTGGCTTAATTTTTTTGTGTTTTTTTCATATTTCTTTTTTTAAATAGGGTTCTAGATTGTTTAGTTGATTTTATTCAACCTTTTTTTTTTTTTTGAGATGGAGTCTCACTCTGTCATCAGGTTGCAGTGCAGTGGCACGATCTCAGCTCACTGCAACCTCCACCTCCCAGGTTCAAGCGATTCTCCTGCCTCAGCCTCCCGAGTAGTTGGGTCTACAGGCACGCACCACCACGCTCAGCTAATTTTTGTATTTTGAGTAGAGATGGGGTTTCACCATGTTGGGCAGGATGGTCTTGATCTCTTGACCTCGTGATCTGCCCATCTCGGCCTCCCAAAGTGCTGAGATTACAGGTGTGAGTCACTGAGCCTGGCTGATTTTATTCAACTTTTATACTTAATAGAGAGAAGTCAGCACTGCAATACCTGGTGATGATGACAAAATATTTGCATACAAGATGTTTTAGCAAAGGATGTCAGAAAGAAAGAATAAATTTCCAAGACAAATATCAGTACAACTAAGATTTAATGGTTTGTGCTTATGCAACATGAACTAAATACCAATATTATTGTTACCTGAGTGAGTGATTCCTGGTAAGATCAGGTTGACGCTCCTGTAGAATTTCAAAGATATTGGGTTGACGTAGAAATGCAACAATCTTGTCATTGTAAGCTGAAAAAAAATCAGAAAAGACAACAATTTAAAAAAGAATCTATTATTAGTTTTATGTATATAAATCCAAACTTGTGTGTGTGTGTGTGAGGTGCAGTTGCGCTCTTTCACCCAGGCTGCAGTGAAGTGGCATCATCTCAGCTCACTGCAACTTCTGTCCTCACGGGTTCAAGCAATTCTGCTTCAGCCTCCCAAGTAGCTGGGATTATAGGTGCCCGCCACCATGCCCAGCTAATGTTTTTTTGTATTTTTAGAAGGGATGGGGTTTTGCCATGTTGGCCAGGCTAATCTCGAACTCCTGACCTTGATCCACCTGCCTCGGCCTCCCAAAGTGCTAGGATTACAGGCGTAAGCCACTGCGCCTGGACTACACATCCAAACTTTTCAAAATCATCTGTTTTTCAGCCAGGCATGGTAGCTTACGCCTGTAACCCCAGCACTTTGAGAGTCTGAGTTGGGAGGATCACTTGAGCTCAGGAGATTAAGACCAGCCTGGGCAACATAGTGAGAACTTGTTCCTACTGAAAAATAAAAAAAAAAAATGAAATCTGTTTTTCTGGCTAATATTACTTATACTCAAAGTTATAGTTTAGAACTAGACTGTGCTCACCACTGTAGGTGCTTACATTCCAATTTCTATCTAACCTTTTATATGATTATTGGACTTAGATCTGTTAGCTGTGGCTTAGTTAAACATTCTTAGTAAACTCATTTGATAAGCCATATTTATTATCAAATGGCAAGATGAGGTCACCAACGAGATTCTAGATCTTGATCATTTTAAGCTTATGAAAATCAGCCTCACAGAAATGACAAGTCAGAAATGAAAAACCATCTTCTGATCAATTAGTAGTCAGCCAGGGAGGTAGAAGAAATGCAAATCAAAACCACAATGAAATACCATCTCACACCAGTTAGAATGGCGATCATTACAAAGTCAAGAAACAACAGGTGCTGGAGAGGATGTGGAGAAATAGGAACACTTTTATACTGTTGGTGGGACTGTAAACTAGTTCAACCATTGTGGAAGACAGTGTGGCGATTCCTCAAGGATCTAGAACTAGAAATACCATTTGACCCAGCCATCCCATTACTGGGTATATACCCAAAGGATTATAAATCATGCTGCTATAAAGACACATGCACGCATATGTTTATTGCAGCACTATTCACAATAGCAAAGACTTGGAATCAACCCAAATGTCCATCAATGATAGACTGGATTAAGAAAATGTGGCACAGATACACCATGGAATACTATGCAGCCATAAAAAAGGATGAGTTCATGTCCTTTGTAGGGATATGGATAAAGCTGGAAACCATCATTCTCAGCAAACTATTGCAAGGACAAAAAACCAAACACTGCATATTCTCACTCATAGGTGGGAATTGAACAATGAGAACACTTGGATACAGGGTGGGGAACATCACACACCGAGGCCTGTCGTGGGGTAGGGGAAGGGGGTAGGGATAGCATTAGGAGATATACCTAATGTAAATGACAAGTTAATGGGTGCAGCACACCAACATGGCACATGTATACATATGTAACAAACCTGCATGTTGTACACATGTACCCTAGAATTTAAAGTATAATAATTAAAAAAAAGAAACAAAAACATTTTAAAACAAAGATAAATGGAGAGCTGGTCTAAATTTTTTTTTTTTTTTTTTTTTTTTGAGACTGAGTCTTGCTTTGTCCCTAGGCTGGAGTGCAGTGGTGCAATCTCGGCTCACTGCAACCTCCGCCTCCCGGGTTCAAGTGATTCTCCTATCTCAGCCTCCTGAGCAGCTGGGACTACAGGTGCATGCCACCAGGCCTGGCTAATTTTTTCTTATCTTTACTAGAGACGGGGTTTCACTGTGTTAGCTAGGATGGTCTCGATCTGTCGACCTTGTGATCTGCCCGTCTTGGCCTCGCAAAGTGCTGGGATTACAGGCGTGAGCCACTGCGCCCGGCCAACCTAGTCTTATTTAAGATGGAGCACGGAGCCCATATGGCCTCCCACCAGTCTGTCCACTCCCCCTGCCTTAGGCACTTCCGGTTTGGCAACCACCGATCTACTTCAACCTCATCCTTTTAATAACAACTCAAGTTGTTTTTTAGGACTTTTTCCTACATTCATTTATTTTTATTTTACTATTTTAGAGGTTCTTGCTGCCTTCGATTTGTGACAAAAGCCCTTAAGAATGTGCTCTCTTTGATTGTTTATTTTGTGAGGCTGCTACAGATTCACATGCCATTTAAATTCTGTCTCAGCCTTAAATATATACTAAGTATATGCTTGTCCAAATTCTTAATTTATAATGATTGCATAACATATTACCTTAATAAATTATTTTTCCTTAACTTCAACAATCTAATATAATACCTCTACTCAGGAAAGGTAGGGTGCTATTAAAAAACAATCTCATCCTTTAGGATATGATAAGACAGAAGCCCTTTGAGACTCAAGTACATAGGATTTTGTTGTACATTTCTTAAGGATAATGCAGCAATTTCTCAATACAGGGCAAAAAGTAGCAGGCTAACAACAGGAGAAGTATCAGCACAGTGTACATGGTACAGACAATAGCACAAAAGGACAGATAATTTCTGGAAAGGGATGACATACCCACTGGAACCGTGTCCTGGTACTGTGGCCTACTGACTGTATTGAATGTACTGGATGGCCTGGGAAGAACTGGTGGTCCTGCATGTCGAGAATCTTCTCCTACCTGCAAACAGAGGCATCTTTTATATTCTGCACCAAGAGCCAGAATGCTCTGTATCAGCATCCCAAACCAAGTTGTTCAAAATATTAACAACGAGCATGGTGAAGTACCACTTGATCAGAACGGACACCAGCTGTGGAGCTAAAGCAGGGTTCTTAGTTATTGAAAGTCTTGTTTTAGTGGCTAAATGGGGAGGGGGGGAAGGATTTGAGGCATCCACATTCTTGGGAGGGGCTGGGGCAGTGACTCTTTACCAAGCAGCACAGAAGTAGTTCAATCTGCTTATAATTACGGAGGCTGCAGCAGCTAAACAGCAGACTTGTTCATCAGGACTAACTTCTGCGTTGACAGAGCACAGTCTGCAACAACACAATCAAAGGGAAGACTGAGTGGTATAAAATGTTTTGGGGCAGTGCCAAGATATTTCTTCTTTTGGCTGAGGCAGGCCAGGGAATTCCCTGGCTCAGCAGAGGAGGGGTTGAAGAGCAGCAATCTTCATGTGGGGTTCCGAGTTAGTATATTATCTCCTCAGGAGCAATTTTCCGTGCCTATTAGAACACCTGGTACAACAGATCTTTCTGGTTTGAGCCTCCCACACCAGGGTGCTAATAGGAACAGGTGTGGAGGAGCTAAATAGGGTTGTCCTAACCTGAATTATTTATTGCACCTAATATAGATTTAGAAACTCATACACACAAGTAGATAATCAAAAATACCCATCAACAGTCTTACCAGGAAACTCTAATGTTTTTTTCGCTTCTGCTTTAGCATTTTTCCCCATATTACAGAAGTCTTTTAAGACAATAGTAGAACAGTAGTATAAGAGAGAATAAGAAAAAATAACATACTGCACTGGATTTATAAACTGGGATTTTGAAAACAGACTTTTATTCCACCCACAACCATTTGCAGCCCTTTTATCATATTGCATCACTTGGGTATTTGCTGAAGATTTTTCTAAAGACCCTAATGCTAGAAATATCCTCCCCACCCTCCACAGCTTGCTTGTCCTTTAAGAATGCTCTCACTCATTCTTCAGAGAGTAGTTCAAACAGCCCCTCCTCAACAAGGTCTTCCCTCTCCTTCAAGCCCAAGTTAAATACAACCTTCTCTGAGCTCCCACAGAACAAGCAGAACAAGCAGCTGCCATTGAGAACAGTTTATATTATTTGTCAATTATACCACAATAAAGCTAGAAAGATATAAATAAAAAGAAAAAAACATGATTATCTAAAGGTATATTTTTCTTTCCCAACTATTAAAAAAAGAAAATTTACAAAGCATTTTTCATTCATATTTTTATTCATTTGTAGTATGGTTTCATGTTTTCCTTGCCTATTAAGAATGCGGGAAATGTGTGGGCCAGGCGTGGTGGCTCACGCCTAAAATCCCAGCAGTTTGGGTGGCCAAGGCGGCTGGATCACAAGGTCAACAGATCGAGACCATCCTGGCCAACATGGTGAAACCCTCTCTCTACTAAAAATACAAAAATTAGCCGGGTGTGCTGGCAGGCACCTATAGTCCCAGCTACTCGGGAGGCTGAGGCAGGAGAATTTCTTGAACCCGGGAGGCAGTGGTTGCAGTGAACCGAGATTGCACCACTGCACTCCTGCCTGGTAACAGAGCAAGACTCAGTCTCAAAAAAAAAAAAAAAAAAAAGGATGCAGGAAATGTGTTATTTATTTGCATCTCTCATAACAGCAACCATTATGTTTCTTCATTGTAGTAGGTGTTTGGTGTTAGCTTGTTACATGGAAAGGACATCAATCTTTCTACTGACTGGAATATTTGCTGAAGGAATACAAGATGGTGGCTGAAATGACTCATGTATGTAATTAGAAGTTTTCTCATCCTGCTTCTCTTGAGTTACTGGCTTTGAGCAATGAATACAGCTACTCTCTGGGGAGATCTGATCACTAAGTACAGATTGTTAGTCAGATATCTGATCATGTCAACACTCCAATATATACTTTCTCTCCTTACAGTATGTTGCCATGTCTCATCGTTTCCCAGAAAAGCCAAAGGTCTTCTCTCTGAGACCTCAGTCCTTATAACCAGACCAGCAGACAGTGGGCAATCCCTCGGAAGGGCAGCACTGCAGGATGTGCATGCTTCCAACAGCCGTGTCAGAAAGGACACTCCCCTGGAAGGTTTAACGACGTGGAGGGCTGGACGCTCAGTCTGTATGGAGTTATCTCTGGGCCACTGCTCAATTTCCAGCCATAGGAGGAAAAGCCTTAACATATCCCTTAGGGTCCCTCTCTCATAAAGGCTACTACTACTAGACCGTGAAAATAATTCATGTTCTAAGGTAGAGGGGTTGAAAAAAATGAAATTATAGCTATTAATCTCATGTATGTTTTCCCAGAAAAACAGTCCTGACTAGACCAAACAGCCAGCTTCATACTGTGAAGTCATGATAAGGTGAGTGGTTAAAGGGCACGGGCTATGCAATAAAATATCAGACAGAGCCCTAATTGTGCTACACATCGCACACAAGGTCCAAAGGTGAGAGGTCTGTTCTGCTTTTAAGATGAATGCTGTTAGCGTCATTCAGTTCACCACTAATGGGTTACATGACAGCAAGGTAAAGATTTATTAGCTACTCATAAAACATAAATATTTTTGTACATACCTCATCCTGTAATATATTTGTATATCATTTTTATATGAGCTTCTCATGTGTACCCTTCTATATCTGCACTTACAACCAGTGAACACATGATGCATTGGAGCAAGTATGTAAATCATGAGGGGAAATTCCAAGAGTAGAATTTTGATGAATCAGATCCAGTTATTTACTGTATTCATATTTTTTCTTATGCAAAATATACGGCTACAAAGATATTTGATATACAATATAATATTGAAAATATGACATGCACATAGACACAGAAAAGGCATGTAAAGGCAGGTAAAGGATCCTAATTCTAAAGGGAATTTTCAGAGACAATGTAAATCAAGTGATGGTATATAAATCAAATCATAAGCCCATAGGAAGGAGAAGAAAACTTGACTTAAGACATTTCTTTTATATATTTAAACTGCAAAAGGAAGAAGTGAAACAAGATTTGTTTTTTTGTGTGTGTTTTTTTTTTGGTTAGGATATTAGAGGGCCCTCATGTGGTTACCATTGGTGCCTGCAAACTGGTTAAGTAGTTTTTAGCAATTCTTAGTTCAGCCCATTTTCTCCAGGCACATAAAGTATATAAAACAACTCTCTCAAAAATATCCTAATTTTAAAGAATACTAGTGAGGATTCCATAATCCCATAGCCCTGGATGAATATTTTAATGTAATATAGAACACTTCACTTAAGAAATTCTATATTTAACCAAGTTATATTCATTTCTTCCTGTGAGGCTGAAAATGGGTGTGCAAACAGGCTTATCAGCTCCCTGTCTTGAACATTTTAGTACATTATCAACTCCTTTTCACCTTCGTCTGAGTCAAAAAATCTTAAATTTCTTCAGTTTTTCCTCACATATCCTACCTTTTTAAATTTGTGATTTAGGCTGTATGTATTTCCAGAGAAGCCCTGTTGACATTTGAAAGCTTTTCAGCCTCTAAATCAAACTCAAAAAAACAAAACAAAAAAATACTTAAAAAAAAAATTCCAATTCCTCAAACCATCACATTCTAGAAGCTTCTATCAACCAACAGGTCAGTCCCCAACATGCTTGACTCACCTCACCCGCACTGTGGCTGCGTTGCCTTGTCAGGTGTTGCCGATGAACCAGTGCACTTGTAGGTCTACTGCTCTGAAGTGGGAGCCGGGGATCAATGAAAGTGGTGGTACGGGAGTTGTGGTCCACAAAGAACGCCTAGGATACAATACACTGAGTCAAATACATGCCGCTCACATGTCTTAGCTGACCTATAACATCAGATGGTCAGGAAAAGACTCACTTCTGAGTCATGATCTTAGCTCTATTTTCTCATAATTTTCAATATTTGGGGAAATTTCTCCTTACCCCCACAAGACAGATCACATTAGAGAAAGCCAAGCTTAGATGAGATCCAGAACGAAGAGAGCAGGAAGGAACATTATGCCTGGTTTTAGGAAATACTCTACAAGATAGTCATCAAAGATATGATCTGAGAAGGAAGCCAGAAGAATGGACATTTGGGCTTCTCTTAACTGATGGTCTTTGAGCTCTTACTGTCACAGGTGGTTATTATAAAGTTCTTACCACCTTGAAACTTTTAAACATCATTGACTTCTCTTCTTTTTTCCTTCTCCTATACAGTAAGCCACCAAATCCTTCTCATTTTCTCACTGTAGTGTCCTCTATTTGTCCCCTCCCAGCCTGAACACCACCCCATTATTTTGGGACTTTATTTTATGTGTGTAAGTACTGGTGGTTTCTCAGCTGCTCCACATCTCTATCACCGTAGTCATTTAACTGGCCCATTACTACAGGAATATTCTTTCTAAATACTTCAATTACATCACCACCCAATCCAAAGCTTCTCGTGACTATCCATTGTCCACAGAAAAGACATTCCCACTCTTTGGTCAGTTTTTCATGACTCTTTAACAGTCTGCCTACATGCCTTTCCAGTATAGTCACCCATTACACACCCATTCAAATTCATCACATACTGTCTAGAACTTTGGGTAAGCCACTTAAGTTCTCTGAGCTATATATTTCTTACAAAAACATGTCTCTTTTATTCCTAACAAACATTTCTCCCCCACAATGTGTTAGGAGAGTGGAAGCCATGTCTGGCATGATCACTGTAGAATCTCTGGTAACATGAAATCACGAATGAGCATAAACCATTTACCTCAGCATTGCAGTAACATGAAATACAATGTAGCAAAGCATTTTTTGGTCTATTTGTTTAATTCTAAAACTATACAAGTGCTATCTATCATTATCCTTAGGGGCCCAATGTTGTAAGTTTTCAAAGTAAAACTTACTCAAGGTAATAATGAAACCCATTATCTTAAGTACAATTAGAAATTGTAAGTTTTCCATGATCAGATAGTTAATTAGGTCATCAAAGATGAAAGGGGCTATTAGGAGATCCAGGAGACTCAGTACCTATAAACCAAGTATCAAGGCACATGATGTATGCCAAGTAACAGGCAAAAAAGAACTGACCTTTCAAATCGATGGAGCTCAGTTAACAAAGTACCTTAACACCTAGAGATGAAGCTATCTAGGCAAATGCCAGAGGCAGATAGTATATTTATGCCTATTTAGAAACCTACTTTCCCATTACGGAACCGAATGTTTCATATGGAACTGTACGTACATCATCAAGAAATGGGGCAGGTCCCATACAGAAAACATTTTTACATCTTTATAAAGAAATAACTTTAAGCAATGGATGTACCAGAAAACAAAGCAGAAAAATGGACAGAACAGGAATCTTTCCCAGTCCTTTCTCTTACTATCCAATCTCTGGGTACAAAAAATAAAGGCTTTGTGTGACATTTTGTCATCAGCCTTACATCCTGGGTAATGTTTCCTCTTCACTAACCTTGGGTGAAACATCCTTCTTCTCAGGTCTTGGAAAAAGTACTCCAGTGATAAAACCTGTGTGGACTTGCATTGACAGGTTCTGACCCCAAATGTCACATTGGTCCCATTTGGTTTGTGCTTCTAATACAATTGCCCACTATTTCTGCCACTATTCAAAATGTCATAAAATAGCAATTAAATTATTTTGTACCAATGAATGTGGCTAATACCTATTTTTAAATAATACATATTAGAACCAAACCCATATCCTCTTTATGTTAATGGAGAGTAACAAGCTTTTATTACTAACACAATCCTATTAACCATCTTGTTTAAGGGAAAAATACAAAGAGCATAAATTAGAATGGCCTATTTACCTAATTTCTCAGGAATGTTTGGAAAGGATGGGTGGTCATTAACGGTACAATGATGCACTTGTAATTATAAAGACAAATGGGTGTCTACATGTAGGTCAACTGTGATTTGCATGTAGTGTCATAGCCTAATGTGATTTTAAGAGGCTTGTCTAAAATCCATTCTCGAAAGAACTATACTGCAAAAGCCTTGAGAGTAGTGACTCTATCTTACTCACTCTGTTATCCCCAATAGCTTTTAGGGCTGTGTCTGGGAGAAAGAGGGTGCTCAGATAAAAACAAATTGCCAAAAACTTGAATTTCCAACCAAAATACAAGGAGACAACTAACAATTAACTAACCAAGTGTTAAAAAGCATGTTCTTGGGTCAGGCGCTATGGCTCACATCTGTAATCCCAGCACTTTGGAAGGCTGAGGTGGGGGGATTGCTTGAGCTCAGAAGTTCGAGGCCAGCCTGGGCAACATGGCAAAACCCTGTCTCTACAAAATACTCAAAAATTATCCAGGCACGCGATGGCGGACACCTGTAGTCCCAGCTACTTGGGAGGCTGAAGTGAAAGGATCATTTGAGCCTGGGAGGTGGTGATTGCAGTGAGTCAAGATTGCACCACTGCACTCCAGCCTGGGTAGGTGATAGAGTGAGACCCCATCTAAAAAAAAAAAAAAAAAAAAAAAAAAAACATGTTCTTTTACAAAAATACTGAAGATTTGGGGAAAAAAAAATTGAGGGAAGCTAAAGACCCTAAAACCACAAACAGAAGATTTTAAAAATCCCATTGTAAATATGGATAAAGTACCATATCTCAGGTTAAAAATTGAGAAGTGGGAGGCAACATAATGATTAAATGCTTGGAATCTGGAAAAAGACAAGCCTGGTTCTGAGCTCTAGTTTGCTACTTGCTAGTAATGCCACTTTGGGCAAACTAGTTAAAATTTTTAAACCTCGGTTTCTTTTCCTGTTAAATGGGGATCATAACTACATTAAAGGAAGGTTAACTGAGATGGTTCATATGAATTTTTGAGCACACTGCCTGTGACACCTCAAGTATGAGGTCCTATTATTATCACAAATACTAGTTTTCTTTTCTGAAACCATTTCCTAAGGATCACAATGTTTCTTGCTAAAGCCCATAGACAAGGCTCAAAAAAAGGAGGACCAGTGAAAACTGTTTGTTACCAGGCTCCTTGTAAGTATGTGTGGCCAAGACTAAGTTCTGACCAGTAAGATGTAAAACATGGTACTTCTGGGAAATCTCCTGATGAAGGACAGATGATCCTTCGTTCTGTTCTTCGCCTATCCTACTCTCTGAAACACAAATTTAATAGTGGAGCTCCAGTAGCCATACTGAACCATGGGGATTGTTGAGGAAAAGAGTCAAACTCTGTAAAATACTTGAAGAGATTTATTCTGAGCCAAGCATGAGTGGCCACTGGCTTGTGACACAGCCCTCAAGAGATCCTGAGAATGTCTACCCAAGGTAGACTTGGCGTTATACATTTTAGAGAGGGCTAAGGCACCAAAAACACATGCAAGATATATGTTAGATCAGTCTGGAAAGGCAAGACAACTGGAAGTAGGAGTGGGGACGATTCTAGGTCATAGGGAGATTCAAAGATTTTCTGTTCGGCAGTTGGTTATTATCTAAAGATCTGGATGGAATCAATAGAAAGGAATGACTGGGTTATGATGAGGGTTGTGGAGACCAAGGTTTTATCATGCAGATGAAGCCTCCAGGTAGCAGGCTTCAGAGAGAAAAGGCTGTAAATATTTATCATCAGACTCAAAGGGTCTGTTCTATCAGTCTTAAGGTCTCTGTTGGTGTTAACGCCGGTCAGCTGTGAGGCATATCCAACCCCCCGCCACTTTCCATCATGGCCTGAACTAGCTTTTTTAGGTTAACTTTGGAATGTCCTTGGCTGAGAGGAGGGGTACATTCAGATGGCTGAGGGGCTTAGAATTTTATTTTTGGTTTACAAGATGAAGGATGGCTGGGCAAAAAGTTGGAAGGAACGGTCGGGCGTGGTGGCTCACACCTCTAATCCCAGCACTTTGGTAGGCCAAGGTGGGCGGATCACGAGGTCAGGAGATCGAGACCATCCTGGCTAACATGGTGAAACCTCGTCTCTACTAGAAATATACAAAAAATTAGCCAGGAGTGGTGGCGGGCACTTGTAGTCCCAGCTACTCGGGAGGCTGAGGCAGGAGAATGGTGTCAACCCAGAAGGCAGAGGTTGCAGTCAGCAGAGATCGTGCCACTGCACTCCAGCCTGGGTGACAGAGCAAGACTCCATCTCAAAAAAAAAAAAAAAGGTTGGAAGGAGCTGGGGCTCTCACAACATGATGAACTCCCTGGTCAACCCTAGACTGCCTACCTCTGAACATCTTTATGTGAGACAATACACTTTTTTTTTTTTTTTTTGAGATGGAGTCTTGCTTTGTTGCCCAGGCTGGAGTACAGTGGCACAATCTTGGCTCTCTGCAACCTCTGCCTCCCAGGTTTAAGTGACTCTCCTGCCTCAGCCTCCCAAGTAGCTGGAATTACAAGCACGCACCACCACACTACCACACCTAATTTTTTGTATTTTTAGTAGAGACAGGGTTTCACCATGTTGCCCAGGCTGGTGTTGAACTCCTGACCTCAGGTGATCCACCTGCCTCAGCCTCTCAAAGTGTTGGGATTACAGGCGTGAGCCACCATGCCCGGCAAGAATACAATCTTGTACATTAAAATGTATATGGGTTTTGCACCACAATACAGTTAAATCAAATCCTACTGGAAACACTGAAGTTTCCACACTGCAGAGGAAAGACAGTCTGTCTAAAAGAAAAATCAGAAAACACCATTATATGTAGGGATTTTCCCTATTTGGTGAATAGTGATATATCTATCATTCACCTTTAATACGCTTAGAATACAATTCCCAATTAAAGTAAAATGTACAGTTGGGAATTTATCAAGCTGGGATTTGAACCCA